TATATTATTGTCGGCTTTCCTACCCAAGCACGCCTCCCCGCCGAGTCTATAGATCGGAAGGCGACAAACTCCTGGAGGAAGCTTGACCGTTCCTCACTGACTACGGCCTTGGACGCGCGCGACAATGCAGGGGAGGGTCTTCGTTTCGAGACGGTCACGGAGGAACTGACAAAGAGTATGTCAATCTCTTTATTATGTTAACTTCTTTAACGCTAACGGCTATTCAGTGGACATTGTCGTTTTCAGTCACGACTACACCGTCCCTATCCCCGAAGGCCCCCGGAATCGCCCGCCGTCATTCGCCACTGGCGCACATCGGGCGGGAAGCATCTTCCCGCCCAGGATGGAGGTGGAAAGTTGTGGATGGTCAACTACGACCTCGACCGCAAAAATGGCCGCGTGCTCAGTAAATTGCCACACCCGGACCAGCGCGCGGCGGAGCCTACGCCGCAGCCAGAGGAGTCTCCTCAGCGGCGCCGTACAAGGGCAGCGTCGTCGAAGTCGAAGAACAAGGGGAAGGGAAGGGCCGTGGAGGATGACGAGCCTGAGGAGGAGGAGCCACTCTCGCCGCCGCTGCCGCCGCGCAAACCCTCTCAGAGGCAGGCGCAGGGCGGTCGAACGGGGAGGCGTGTGGCCTTCGAGGGCGATAGCGACAGCGAGGCTGACGAGCTCTCCGAGCTCAGCGAGTACCAGGGAAGTCGCTCACCATCACCAAGACCCTCCGCTGTCAAGACCGCCAGGAAGAGACGCCAGCAGTCTGAGGCCACCGCCACTCCCCTGATCAAGCGCGCGTGCAACGACGAGTCCCAGCGCGCCCCCGCCGCTCCCCCGATCAAGCATGCCCGCAATGACGAGAGGAAGCGTCGCCAGCCGCCAACGGATGACGGTGCCGTGAAACGCGCCCGCGTGGAGGAGTGGGAGAAACCCTGGGTGGAGATACCTCCGCGAACGCCCCCCACCGCAAGCACAAGCCGTCCGACAGAGCGTCGCCCTGCGGCCGAAGACGCCGGAGTGAACCGCAGCCGTGCAGAGTTCATCCAAGGGGGCTCATCACGACCATTCCTCTCCCCTCCCGACAAGCCACCCCGTCCAAAGCCGAAGCCTGCTCATCGTAGGGCCGTGGCCGCGGCGCCTGCAGCTCCCGTCGCGACCGCGCCACCTGCAGCTCCCGTCAATGCCCCGTCCGCGCTGCCACAGCCCCCGCCAACGCCACCGCCGCACTCCCTCCTGCCGCCACTGGCCCACTGGACTATGCGACCATGCTGCGCTCGGTTCCACCTGAGATGCTGGTCGCTGGGCTAGCCGTGCTGCAGCAGATGCAACAGCTGCCGACGGAATGAATATCCGCCACCCCGCGTAGGCTCCGCCGTTTGTGAATGCCCCGCTCGTCGCTGATTGTATACCTTGTCCATCTTTCCCAACGACTCACGAACTATCCTAGTGTACATACTCTATATCTTGGACCCCAAATCATTGTATAATATCGATATATTTCTTGTTACTGTACCATACAATTTCTTGTAGCCCTTTCCATCCTGTAGATATCTCCCTCCCACTTGTGTATCATCTTCTTGTCTAGTAGATAATGTTGTCTGTACAACTGAATGTATTCTTTGTGTGTATATCAAGGCTTGAAGTTTTGCGGAGGCTTGAGCAGAGGCCTGCAGAGGCACAACGCGGAGCGGCAGGTTAGTATAAACGTAAAGGAAGCGATAGAACGGGGAGACTCCTCCCTCCTCGGCATCTTGTAACTGGGTTTTACACCCACGACGTAACCGATCTTCAAGATATCCTACGTAATGCTTTCGTAGCCTCCTTGGGTGGTCATGTATTCGATTACGTCGCGTTGCCGCCGATGCGTGGACTGAGTCTGACATCGTGAAAATCGATTGGTACGCTCGCTTCCCGCTGCTCACCACATTGACCACAATCGCTCCCCTTAGCATTGTTCGAGCATGGCAGCCAATCAAGTTCCCGACGAAATTCTCTCGAAAATCCTTACCCCGCTGCTGGAGCACCCTGATGAAGTGTTCCGTGACCAGTCAGCGAAACCCCTTCTCGACCCCGGCTTCTCCTCGTCATCCTACCTCCTCGTATGCAAAGCATGGCTTCGCGTGTCGACACCCTTTCTATATAAGACCGTCGTACTCCGCACCACTGCTCAGGCAGAGGCCCTTTTGGCAGTCCTAACATGTAACAGACAATTTGGGCTGTTCATTGCAAAATTGCGAGTCGAGGCTGGCTTCCCTTCTGCCATCCACACTATCCTCAAATTCGCACCCAAAATTACAGACATTTATCTCACACTCTACATCTGGGCCTCTGACGACGTCGGAGGTCTCTGCAGTGGTCTTTCGCTGATCAATCCGCGCCGCGTCATTTTCCATGACGCCGTCGCAAATACAGGAGTGGAGGGAGAGCCGAAGGACAATAAACAGACTGAGCAGCTTTTCAGCGCGATTCTTGGGCTCGTTTCGAAATGGGATAAACTGGTACGCTGTTTTTTGGCATACCCTCGCGGAAACCGAGCCTAATTGCGAAACAGCAAATTTTCGATTTTCCGTACCTCGTCCATGAAGACACATATAGATATGGCAACGAAACATTGAACGCACGCGCACAGGCTCTGGCTTCAGCGTTGGCCCGGTCTCACAGCCTCGAGACCCTCCTCGTCCCCATTGGCGACTTTTTCCCGACATATCTTCGGCAATTTGTCAATGTGCGATCCCTGAAGTCAATCCACTTCATCCGATCCCAGCATCTTTTGCATCGACCGGACCGCTATCTTTCCTATTATGTTGATGAAATTCGCCACTCTGTCGATCGAGTTCCGTGACTCAAAGCGCTCATCACGTACACGGCACTGAAGTACATCCCCTTTCTACATCGTCATCACTGCTGTTCTGATTCAGAAACAGATCTGACAAGAAAGAATCGGTTTCCCACCCTAGAGAACAGCTGTCGCCTCCGGAGCAGTTTGAAGTCACGAGCCTCTCAGCGCTGAGGCAAATCGGCGAAAGGGGGAGCATGGTGAAAATTCTCAAGATATCTTTAGTAACTGCCAACACGATGTTCCCCGCCGTAATTGACCCCACTGCCCTTGCTCCCTTCACTTCTTTGACTCACCTCACCTAGAAAATGCTCGACACAACCTCATTCTCAATACCTCCTCCCGGATTTTGTGTTCTGCCTCACCTTGAACGGTTGAGCTATGATGGGTGTTCACCCATACTTCTGGATATTTTGCAACCGCTGCCGTACGGTCATACTCCGACTAGGCAATAGATAAGCTCACTCGCTTTCCTTCTAGCCTCAATTTGCTACGGGATGTTGAGCTGTCCAAGCCTATAAATGTTCCCGCTGCAGTCGCCTTCCTCAAATGCCATGGTGTCAAACTCAGAACACTCTCCTCTACGCCCGAAATCCTCAGCAGGGCTGACGTATTTAACCTATGTACAAACCTCACGACTCTCAAAGTCACCTCCGCGTTTGATTTCGCACCGGAAGAGGAGGCTCGAGTTGGTGTTCCGTTCTTAGCCCCGGAACCATCGCTGATACGCTTGGCGCAACGTTCACAGCTTCTTCCAGATAATTTTATCGCGTGCTCTATCCCGCATAGCGCGCTCGCTAAGATTCATTTTGGGAACTGGACGATGTAAGTTGACTCCTGTCCCTATTTCATTATCATAAACCTGATGTCGCTTTCCAGAGCACCGTACAGTGACTGGCTCAAGCGGGAGGACCGTAAGCGTCTGAATGAAGGCGGCTTTAAACAATTCTTTGAACAGCTGAAGCCGGAGAGCTTCCCCGTCCTGAATGAAATACAGATCGACGAGATCAAGTGGCCGACCTCTGAGTGAGCTATCTTTTTGCGGCAATGTTGCGGCCAATGCAATTGAACATATCCTTTAGGCAAGAGGCTCGTCAAAACCAATGGATCCCGCTTTCGGACGTCTTGCGCCGCAAAGGAATCAAGGTGATAGATTGTTGGACCAAGAGGAGTGGCCCCACGGGCGTGCGAGCATTGATCCTGCCCCCAATATGTGGAACGCCCATATAAATGGTGGACGGAGTGTCTTCCACACGCAATACTGTATATACGGCCTGCGTTCTTGAGTTTTGCTAATTTCTTGTGGTAGACGTAAACTGAGGCCGCAAATCACAAATTAACTTCGATTTGACAGTGTACACCAATCGCGCGGCCACTGAGAATAAGATCGTCATCCCACGCACGTTTATCAGCAGCAACACATCGGCTTCGCATGGAAAAGCCAGAGCACCTCGCTTTGAAACAAATGATGAATCCAAGCTCGGGGAGCTGCCGGTAGTGCCATCGCCTCTGCATGCGATTGAATATGTGCTGAAAGGTCGCGTTTTTGTTGTGATGATTTTGGTCTAATTTTCGATACCCACAAATTCAGTCTTGAGTAGGTAATGAAATGATCGGGGGTGGATGGTCCACGCCCACAATAAATGATTGATCAGGGCCTTGAATTGTCTGTAGGAGTCTAGGAGAAGCCCGTTCGACCTGGTCCTGAACCATAACCGAAGATTTCATCAACTCAACTAAACTGCCGCAGAACAATCGCCCTTTGACTTTCCCTGCAATGACCCCGGGACATGAATGCAACCAACGTGACAGTGGAAATCACTTGAACACCATTTTTAGGGTTCACGTTTCTTTGCATATATTCAACGGGAAGGAGGATGAGTATCGGCTCGGTGGTGGATGGTCCACACCTGCACCTCATGCTCGCTGAAGTCAGACTTTGTTTCTGTAGGCTAAGCCCGGTCAACTGGGGCCCGGGCCATATGTTGGAGTGTAGCGTTTTTTTGTTTCCCTAAATTTCTGATCTGCAAGATCCAACTGTACCACCCTCCTATCTTCAAATTTGCACCCAAGCTGCAACTTTGCTTAACGAACCAGCTTGCGGATTTTGGGACTGATTCAACCAGTGGGATATTTCAAATATATTCGCGGCCACGAGTGGAAACATATCGGCTTGGTGGTGGATGGTCCATGCCTGCGCTCCATGTGACCGTTTGCTGAAATCTGTGCAGGGGAAGCTCGTTCGACTCGGGCCCGAGCCATCATATCATAACAAAATCGCAGCAATTTTTTTTTTTTTGCTCTCTAATCTCATCTGTGAAATGAGCAATCTAACTGCCAAATCCTCTCATCTTCAAATTTTCAACCATATTTCAAAACTTTGCCTCCTATATTACCGAACCAGGTTGTGGATTTTGGACTGATCCAACCCATGGTATTTTTCAACCATGTTCGAGTCCACAAGTTAGAGGGATATCGGCTCCGTGGTGGATGGTCCACACCTCCACTCATTGTAAGGGAGGCAAAGAATTCTAGAAGAGAGCTCGTTCGACTCGGGCTCGAGCCATAACCGGGGAGGAGTTTCACTTTTTATCGGCAAAATTGACTCAACACCCACAGGGCGAAGCAGATTTTCTCCTTGATTTTCCTGCACAACCAAGATGATTGTGAATGCCTCTAACGCCAAATGGAACCATTTTTCGACTTCGAATTCCTTGCATACATTCAAGCTGATAGGTAGGATCAGAAAGGCTCGGTGGTGGATGGTCCTCAGCTGTACTCGTTGTAACGTAAGGGAAGCCTAGGTTTCTGAAGGAGCAGCCCGTTCGACTCGGGCTCGAGCCATGTGCACGAAAGTTTGCATTTTTTTTCTCTCCCTGAATTTCTGATCTGTGAGATTCAAATGTACCACTGACCCTCCTATCTTCAAAATTTCTGCAACATTAACGAACCACTGCGCGGTTTTCCACCGATTATCTTGCCAAATATACTTGAGGTGTCGGGCGGGAACGAGGCATGGCCGCAGACTTTGATGTTGAGTTGGCCGGAATGAGATGTGACCGACGCCAAAAACGAATTATCATTTATAGTATTGAACAGCCGTACGGCGAACGTCTGTCAATCGCAACGCAGGGAGACCCATACCAGAACGGACAATATGAGACTCACGGACGTCCATGCCCACCGCATTGTTGTTGCCCTCGCAGCTCGCGCTCCCTTGACGAACTGACGAATTGGAACTTTGGGGCACGCGTCACACCCCTTGACGAATTACTTTTAATAGTACAGTACTACACGGGAAAAAAATGGAAGGAGGAAATCTCGAATACCAAGCACGTGCTTGGAGAACAACTACAAAACACCGAAATGAAGCAAAGTTCAACAGACTCTGAAAACATTCAACTAATGCATGGCGCGTGAAGGTCCTCATTTATGCGTCATCTTCACTCCATTCCAGGCATCTTGCTGAGCATCCACTAAATTTAATGGTCCCCCTCCCCATCTGACCCGTCAACCCGCGCGCTCTCTAGATGTCGGCAAAACAAAGTAAGCGATCACGGTAAATTTCCTCTCGAGGAATGACTGAGCTCACCTAGTATATCCGCGCGGCGCAGAAATATCCCGCCTTCGCACACCCCTTACTTTTCTTCTTGCACGTCGACAACGCTGCACTGGCCGCCTTGCTGCCATCGTTTTTCCCATACCCGCGCGCGTACGACAGCGCCACGTACGTCGAGCCGAAGTCGATGCCAACACAGCCCTCCTCTATGCACGAGTAGGACTTGCAATCGCTCTTCCCGCATTGCTTCTTCGCATTTTGGAGGGCGGAGGACTCTGAGCCGCCTCGGGACCACCCGTAGTGGCCGCTCGAGGTGGATACTGCGACGCAGACCCAATAATGGGTGCTTGCAGCGACCACGGGCGCGGGCGCGGCGTCCTTGTGGGCGGGACCAAGGGGGCCGGTGCGTCGACCGACTCGGGGACGTCGAATGGGGTGAAGCCGTCAACGGGATGGGCGGTTACGTTGGACGTTTGGAGGGCTGGCGAGCCAAGAACACCGAGGATCCCGACGCGGCGAGAGTGAGGAGAGAGAGAGCGAGTTTCATTTCGGCGTCTTGTTGGGCGGGGTGGATGCCCTGCTATCGGACGACCTTCACTTTTATGCGATCCACAGTCAGGCGCTAAAGCGAACGGAGATTTGGGGGTACTTTATTAAAAGCCCGATTGCTATCACTGCGCTACAACGTTGGGAACAACACTAGGAATGGGTAAGAATCGGTATAACGATAAAAATCGGCACAGCCCGCTGTCAGGTTCAAGGACCCGATTTACATCTCTTGGCACCGCAGAGGCAATCCTCCTCCTCCTCCTCCTCCCAAGGAAAGATTATTTGGCGGAAAGAGGCTGATCTACCCTCGCACGCTACCCACGCTGTATCGAATACCTACCCGCCCACCGTCTGCTCTCATCGACCCTCCCGTTAGCGCCACTCGCCGATCTTTCCATCCATAATCTACCCGTTTTTACTGTTGATCTGTCCACTTATTCAATTCACTCAGCCGCCACCTGCGTGTCTGCTGCCATGTGGCGGACCATCCCTGAAACCACACGTTAGCAAGTGTATTAAGTTTGATTCAACATTCCCTGTCTCCACACATAATCAAGTTTCAACTTGTAGGTAAAAGTTATGGTTAGCGGTCCGGTTAGGGGTTAGTGGTCAGGGGTTGCGATTTGGGGTCAGCGGTTAGGGTTAGTGGTTGGGTAGGTAGGTAGGTAGGTATGCGTGAACGAGTTGCAAAAGCAGTGCGGGATAGCTGCGGAATGAGATGGTAAACATCTGCCAAGAACACGTACCGTAGTGCGACAAGAGCTGGTGCCATACAGGAAATCATCGCGTGGCTTTCGCTTTCCGCCGCCAAGCGACAGAACGAGCGTCTCTTGGAACTCTAACCTTGTACCATTCTGCCCAGCGAAGAATTTCGATGCCCAGGGTGTGGGATAGTAGCAGGCGAGTTAATGTTGAAAGTTGAAGGCACAAGAAACAGTGAAAACAAGTCTGGATTGAATACAGGATTCAGAGAAGTATAAATACAAAGTCGTGTATCTACAGCCAAGTAACCGAATACATCGAACAATGGGAGATAGAAATCAGGGATACTAATCTGGCCATAAAGGGAGTGCTGTTACAGGAAAACCCTTGCGAGCCACATCCTTCTCAAGCGTAAAATCCTGGAATGCGTGGCTAACCACCAGGTCATAGAGAGTGAAGCCCAGCCACGAATCGAACAGAAATGAGCAGAGAAATTATGAGAATCAATACACAAAACCACATAATTTTTCCAAAAATAAAAGAGAAACATCTCCTTATCTCCCTCCTCTGACATTGATTGAGCTCAACGTCGCAGGCGGGCTTCGTTTTCCAGGTGAAAACGATGAAAACGATCCCTTGAAGCATGGTATACCAAGCTCCGAGATCCATATAAATATGTGGTTTCCCAAGTTATCCCGCAAACTTTTCTTTTCTTTTCTTTCTGGCGTATCGTTTTCCCCCATCACCGAACCCATCTCTTTCTACTTCTCATCCACACAATCGCATTGCGTGCGACTAATCCTAGCGAGTCGGAGTCTTAGCGACACAAATTCACACACCGTCAACAACATATCGACACCTCGGGTATAGTATGCATTTCGTATCGTAAACAGGTAATGGTTGCGGTGAAAATAAGGGCCTAATCCCGCTCAGCCATGGGGGATATGGAGCAAAAACTGCGATGACAAGGAAGAATCAAGCGAAGGGTGACGTAACATGCACTAGCTGGGCGCGGACTTAAGGCCCTCAAGCCTCCTCGTAATCATATCCTTCAAGAGCGGCGTTGCGCAGTTCGCAGATCGCGTCGCAGTGGTTAGGTGGCACACCGTCGTCCGTGTCCTGGGCATCAGGGTCAACGAGGCGCGCGGCGATGGCGTGGTGCCGCGCTTTCAGATCGTCTGCGCGGCGGTCGGGTTGGCTGGTGTAGCCGTACCTGCTGCGGCGTCAGCAGGCAGGCCGCGGGAGGGGGGAAGGGTCAGCGTACCAGTATCCAAGGTCGTTTAGAGACCCAGCGTCTTTCAGGAGAGCGTTCTTCGCGGTGGCGTATGCATCCGGGGGCTTGCTCGACTCGAAGCACCCTAGAGAGCAATGGTTTAGGCTGCTGCGGCACTGCGTGTGGTGTGGAATAAAGACGTACCGAACCACGACGCGCGGTCGACGTAGCCAGTAGAGTCCATCCAGGAAAAGGCATTCATCATGAAGTCCTTGGTCTGCTGCTGGCTGGCCTTGGAGGCGGAGGTGACGCCAATCTCGGTGACCCAGATCTTGTAGCCGAAGCGCGAGTGCGCCGTGCTGACGAACTTTTTGAAGGTCGCGATGTCTTTGTAGGAGCCGTACCTATGTAGCCAAAGGATGAGCCGGGCAGAACGCGATCTACAGCACGATAGGGGCTGGCGACGTACCAGTGGACGGTGACAAAGTCGACGTGTCCCCCGCGCTTCTTGAGTTCGGAGAGAAAGCTCGCCGTCCAGTCGAGGTTCCACGCGACGGCGGGGCTCCCGAGCTTGACGCCCTTGGCCGCCCAGGGGTGGATCTCCTTCATCCACACATCCGCGGCAGACGCGGGCGACATGTTTGACTGGGAGGAAATGTCGGGCTCATTGAAGCCGAGCAGGTGCTTCGGCGTTTTCTTCGCCATATCGGACTTGCGGCTCGACCATTGGTCCCATTTCTGGGATGGTGTCAGTTTCATGCGTGGATGCGAGACAGATGATGACCCACCGAGGTGCCCCAGAACATAGGGACGAACTCGTTCTTCGCGGGCATCTGGGGGACGGCGCCGAATTCCCAGTCTGCAATGTTGTTACTGGGAGAATAGAATTTACAAAAACCCCTGGGATGCTTACGGTGGTACCAGGTGATCTTTGGCTTGCTGCCGATGACGGGCGCAAAGTTGTTATCGGTGGCCCATGCGAGGCCGCGGTCGGTGGCGTCTACAGTGCAGAGCACCGTGAGGAGGGCAATAGCACTCGAGAGTAGTGTAAGAGAGGAAACCATTCGGGCCTCAAAGAGTGTGAGGTAACGAGCGTGAAGGTTGTGGAAGAACAGGGAAAGAGGGGAAAAATCGCGTTCCTAAATCCGATCATTTGAGGAGCTGAAACGGCTTGGCCATCCCTTGGCTCCATCATTAACTTCAACGATGATCGATGATCGGCGGAACTTCAAGCCGGA